GCTTTCTCCCTAGCCCTGTTGAAAGGAGTTCAAAGTGCTTTATGTACATTTACAACATTCCTTAACAACAGCCCTGTAAGGTGGGTCAATATTATTGCTTTAGACTGCTCTCGGAGGCCAAGAAAGCATAACTTAGCAAGGCTACCTAGTGAAGGTTAGATGGTGAGATTTAAACTGGGGATATTCAGACTCAACAGCTCATACCTGTAAGCCATGCATGGTTAGCTCATTGATGAGTGTGAATGAACTGGATACTGGATGCTAAGTGAGCCAGAAATGCATCCTTAGCTACTGCACTACACAGGCAGTCCGTAGAACATCCCATGGCATTGAAAGGGTGCTCCATCACTTCAGCTAAGCTAATCATTAATTGGAATAAAGATGTTGGTCAGCTGCATCATTTGCATTTTCCATTGAACATCATCAACAAACAACAGCTGGCCAGCTGATATTTGATGATGAACAGAGAGCACGTACTCTTTGTACAGACTATTCTATTTTTCTCACGGCAACTCCTGGACCAGAAGCAATTCTCCTGGCCTGAGAATGACAACCCTGAGAAGATGTAAGCTCTTAAATTTCTACCACTTCTGCCCAAATTCTGGTACCAGCCTGATTGTCTCTTGATCTCACGTGACTCTCATTTTTGGTCCATGTCAGTTTCACATGTACTGATTCATAAGTCTGTCTCATTTCCACAACAAGCTGTGAATAAAAGGTATCTACTTATTTGCAGCATTCTTCAGCACACTTTTGTGTGTATTTCCTCTTAAAATACATATTTTGGGTGCATTTTATTTGCATTTTTGTATGTTTAGGAATATTTTGTGTTTCTTTTCTATTGCAAAATTCAATAAGGGTTACTCTGTTCAGATCTGTGATTTCAGGGAAATTGGAACTGGGTTGGTTCACATTCAGCTAGGTTATAAGGGATCCATACAACTCTTTGTATTATTTATTATTACAAAATATCACTCTTTTATAGGCAGCAATATATGATATTGATATGGTTAATAGCTTTTTAGTATTAAAGTAAGATCAACTCTCTACTTGGCAACCTTCACAATCAGATATGCCTACAGTTGCAAATGAACAATGATGAAATTTTGTTGTTGTTGTAACATGCTCTCAAGTTGTCCCTGACTCATGGCAACCCCATGAATGAAAGCCCTCCAGAATGACAGCCTTGCTCAGCTCCTCTAAAAACCTGGCTGTGGCTTCCTTTATGGAGTCAAACCATGGCACAGTGGATCGTCCTTTTCTTCTTCTGCCTTCAACTTTCCCTAGCAGAATAGACTTTCCCAGGGAGTTTTGCTTTATCATGAAGACAGCTTCAGTTTTGTCATTTTTTGCTCCTAGGTATAGTTCTGGCTTGATTTGATATACAACCCACTTGTTCGTTTTTCTGTCAGGCCAGATTATTTGCAAAACTCTTCTCCAGTGGACAATTTATCCATACTTTCTAAATGACATAAAGTGTTTTTGGTTTTTTAAAAAAAAAATCAAGCCAAGAAAACTGTTGCTTTTTCGTTTTGGAAAACTGCAACATTTATGTAGCATGCATGCTTCTCCACAGTGAGATTATTCTCTCCATAAAATGTGTCGGGTGTTTTCTAATAGCTGCAGCTGTGAGCAGTTATGCCAGCCATCTCTTTCAGAGGCCCCAGTAGGTGCTCTGATGTCCCGAGAATACCATATGGAGGCTGTGAAGCTCCAAAAATCAAATCACTTCTGTAATTACCTAAATATGGATTGTGGAGCTTCATTTTAATCTCCTACTTCTTAATTCCCCGCCCCCAGCCTGCCCGTGTGCTTTGCCTGCCGTGTTTTAACTCAGCAGAGCGCATGTACTTTTGTAAGCCATAAAGCTAGACAGTGGCGAAGTGGCAGGAATGTACGACTGAGGCTTGCGAGGTCCGGGTTCTAGTCCCCGCTCAGCTATGCAGCCCACTGAGGACTTTGGCTCAGTCGCTCTCTCTGCCTGACCTACCTCACAGGGTTGTTGTTATGAGGATAATATGGAGAGGAGGACCTTGTAAACCTGGCAAGAGGAAGAAGCCTGTAAATGTGATGTAATACTAATCATAAACAGACTGTCTTAGGCTGTGCTTGTATACAATACTATCACAGACTAATACTGCTGGTACTGGAGCTAAAAAAGCATGGGGGCATGAGGGGAGAGAGGAATCAGCATAGTCAGGGTAACCCCAAAGTTTGTTGATACTGAAAAAAAATCTCAAGGAAAAATACACTTCATAGGATGAGTACGGCTCCCTAACAGCCCCATAAGAAAAAGCCCTCATTCTGCATAGGTTACTTCCTGGTTTTTGGAAAGGGCTTCTGTACATGTGACATTTAACACAAGGCTGTACTGAGCCTGTTTTTTTCATTTTCTTTGCTGGAAAAAAAAACAAAAAACAAAACCCTTTCCCACCATAATAACAATACTCTCCTTTCTAGCCTTCTGTATGTCCCACTGCCCAACACAAGGTGGTGCTGTGGCATCAAGAGGAATTTAAATTTTATTCAAGGCTTCCATGGTAAAGAATGGTGTCATCCAGGAAAATGCTGTGTTATCCTCGCTCTAAAATGCACAAGCATGACTGGAAAACACGGAAGAAGTCCTGGGAGGAGGCAGTGTGGGGGGAACGGGCCTGCAAACTTCTCTGAGTGATAAATCACAGGCGCACAATAAATGCCCAGTGTAGAAAGCTCCCTAGAAGCTTTCTAAAAGGGCCTTCCAGGGGGAGGTGTTCACAGACATCAGTGGAGAAGAAATGTCGAATTTCATGGAGGTGGGAGTGGAAATACATCTGCGCTGTGTTTCTATTTTGCCTCATGTTGGGTTGAAAGAATACCCGGCATTGTAGCTGGTGTTTAGGCTCCTTATGGGAGATAGGAGGGCTTTGTCGAGAGAGAAAAAGGCATGTTAGGTCTGCAAGTTAGTCTTCAGTTAGTACTGCAGCCTAAAAGTGGGGCTCCTTAAATTGCCCTGCACATCTTCTGATGGAAAAAAGAGGAAAAGTCTCAGGATGTTGAACAAAATATGGTTTTATTTTTCAAAGTAATCCAACGTGTTGCAGCTCTGCACCATATGTAGGGGTTCTAGGGCTAAAAAAGGGAGAAAGCAACAAGAAAGCACATAAACACGCTTCAAACAAGGGTTTAAATAAACATGCAAGTTAAAAGCTATTCTATGCCCACATCACAGCGATGCTTTTTTGCATACTTATCTCAGATTTTTCAAAATGTCTGCCGCAATCTCCGAAAAGACCTTTCTCCAGGATAAATCCTATGATGGGTGGCATGTTTAATTTGCAGTGATTTGCAGATTTCCAGTGGTGAACTTTTTGTCACATGAGCTGGTTAAAAGACAGTCAATTGGAAAGGGAGATGAGTGCCTTCTTTCTCACCTTTCATCCCTTTTAGCTGTTCACTAAGCTTCTTACTGTTACACACTCCCCGCTTTCCTGAGTGGTGAAAAGCTGAATTTCCTTTGAATTCACAAGGATGTTCTTGACATTGTAATATCCATTTTATTCAAAAGTATACCTGCAGAGCCTGTGGGAAGCAAAGAGGCTGCTAAAGCAGGCTGCCTAGTTGCTGTTTCGAAATCTTAGAGCCAACTCATTTTTTTGTGGGGTGGTGGTGGGGAATCTTGTGTTTGGGATTCTCAATCTGTATTGAGGCCACGGTTAGCCATCTAAATTGGGACCAGGGCTTTCAACCCATTCTCCCCATCCACTCTTTCCATTGAAAACCATTCTCTTACCCCTCAGTTGCAATGTACTCCTCAAATATACTATTGGCAGCGAATATCTGGTTCCTCAGGGGTGAATGGTGCAGGGAAACAGGTTAAAAGCAAGACCTCCCAGGACTGCAGACACAATCCAGGCTGAGGTCCTTCCATTTGCTTAAAACATTGGGAAGATTAGATTCCTAGCCAGGTTTTGGCTGGCCTCCAGATGGGACTCTGAGGCAGGTGTCAAGGCACAGCATGGACTCCACTGGGACAGACCTCACGTGAGGTGGCTCCTGCTGCCGGATGAATGAGATGCAGTTGCTGGGAAGGTGGCTTTGATCCGGCAGGAAGGGGAGGAGCAGAGAGGCCTGCACATGGCCAGGGGTCGTTCCTGCTCCAGACACTGGCAATGCTCTGCCCCAGGAGGCCTATGGGTGCCATCTGCAGGCTCCTGGGCAAAGGACAAAACTCTCCCATGAGTACTGGGCCATGTGGTCCACCCTTGCTTCTCTTGGGGAATTGTGCTCCAAATGAACGTGGATGGCATAAGGAGATCAGAAGCCCTGCCTGGGGAGGTCAGGAGCCTGGCATCCGTGGGGCCACTGCTGGCTCTGCCACTGGGATCCATGGATTGGCCGCACGGTGGTGTTGTTGCATATGATTTTTTGTGCCGGAGGGTGTCCTTCTAATTGTGAGACCAAGGGCTCTCTCAGTGTGGGTGTCCTTGCTGACACGGTCCCTGACTCAGGGGCTTTGGTGGTGTTTCCAGGGCTGCTGTGCATGGCTTTGTGAAGCTGTTCCATCTGTTTGTTGCTTCACTGTCCACTCCTTTTACAAGCTAAGATTTTTTTTTGGAGGTGGGTACATGATTTTCATTCCTGTTTGAAAGTGCACTTTTGTACTAATAGCCACTTATGCAAGTGTGCATTAGTGCTGATGTACATATGTGCAAATTCCCCTCCAAATTAAAAAGAGTCCATAAGTCCATGGAGCTTGAAAAGATCTGGTCCACTGCAGAATCTTTGGGTTGATCGAAATCCACCTCTGGCATCCCCATCTGGGACCTAATGCCATTTTCTTTGTTGTGATTTTCTTCTGTTCTCCAGGGTGGGGTTGAGTGCAGGATACAATGCTATTCCTCCTGTACAGTCTCAGTATCTTTCTGTCCCAGAGTAATTGTTATATGAGATTGCTTAATTAGGAATGCTTTGCTAGGGTTTTTCTTATTTGAAATGTAATTACGTATCTTCTTTTCCAGATTCCCCATCAGTTTCAATACTGTGCATGGCAGCTGATGACAAAGCTTTTGTAAGTATCAAACATTAATGCTAATTGAAAAAATAGTATTTTTCATTTGGGGAAACAATTACTTGCAGAATAAGTGCAGGGTATGAAAACTTTGCTGTGTTCATACTGCCCACTGAGTCATTTGGAAAGCTTTCAAAACACCTAATGGGGACTATAGCTTTGGTAACAGCTAGTCAATGCGGGTTGTAGAAGATCTAGAAATCTTTCAGTAGGTGAGGCTATTTGCTAAGGGTGTCTGCAGCCAGGACTCTTCTATTCGTGCATGACTTGGTCATCTTATTTATTTACTTACTTATGTTGGTCTGCTGGGTTGGGTGCTGTTTTTATTTTGTCACTGCTCTGTTTTTAAATGTGTTTGTACTACGTTTGGATGTACCTTTAAAATTTCTTACGATTGTAAATAGCTTCAAGCTCATTTTTTTAGAGGAAAGGGGAAGCAAAGCAAATGAATAAAAGAATTTTCCTAGGGAATCAGTATAAATACACAGTAGATCTCAGTGCAGAAATAGTATATAAATGTTCCATACAGCAAGAATACTTGTGTTAGTGAGACTGAAGCTCAATCTCTCTCTCTCTTTCAAGAAGTACTGCTTCATATGTGATGGCTTTATTATGTCTAGAAAATCACACAGAATAGCTTTCCTCAGGCTTCTTCAAGCAGTGTTTTCTGCAAAACCTTTTCTGCACACAAAAGCCACCAGCTCCTGGAGATTGCTTGTCTGGAAGCTCTCTCGTTGACATGCTACCTGTCCCCATGTAGGGTCTTTTTGACATGGCCAAGAATCAAACATGTGATCTCTCACCCTTGTCCTGAAATGCTTCTCTAGCAGGCCATCAGTTTATGTGAGATCCAAAAATGAGAGATGATTTGGTGACTTCTGCATAACAGCTTCAAGGTCGGAATGTTGTTTTATAATGTTCGTCTCCTCCAGGATGGTCTGAAACCTATTGTCTCTTAGAAATGATGGTTGAAAAGCTGAGATTAATGTGCAACATTTCATTTATACGTATAATGTGAAATGTCTCCTGCTTTGACGGGAATTGGATGCTTTGTTCCGTTCGCCTTCCAAACTAATTTCTTGCTGGAACTGAAAGGCTATTGTAATGAAATGTTCTAATAGAGACAAGCCAAATTAGGAGCTTCATTCCTGGCATGTGCTGTCTCAAGTCCATTTGGACAAGGTCCGAAGGACAGCATTACAAAGGTTGTGTCAGGGTGTTTCTCTCTTCCTCCCCTCCCAAGGATTATTTAATCTACTGCAATGAGATGTTGCATGGAGTTCTGTAGTTCATTGAGAGTTCTGACCCTTTAGCATATACCTTCTGCCCCCAAATATATTCCTTCCCCTGCTGATGCTTTCCTATGGTGGTGCCACTTCTAGCTGAATGCGGAATAGCATGCACACAACTAACACTGGGCACGGAGGAGACAGTGCCGTTAACATTCCCCCTCCCCAGTGCCCCTTTCTGCACTCTAAGGCCCCATCAGCTTCCTGGTTTACTAAAGAACTTGGACAAGGGAACCGACAGGATGACGGCTTGGCTGCAGACCGTGCAAGTCACGTAGCAACAGTGACTGAACACAGGAATGAGCATGCTGCTGTGTGTTGCGTGCCAGCTTTGCACTTCTGAAGCAACAGAACATTCTTTGCCAATAAGCTCTTTATTCTCCAGTGCACTTCCAGGAAGAACAACCAACGAAGCATGGCTCTCTGAGCATGCACAAAGCCAATCCAGCAACTGCTTCTGAGAAGCCTCTATCTGGTTGCCCTTCCCCCTCTTCTTGGAAGTGGACCAGCCTCTTCTCTGTATGTTGACCCTCAAGTGGGGGAGGCCTTCTCTCCTGACACTCTGTCATGGGGTCAGGTGTCATACCGCCTGGCTCCTAAAGCAGCTGTCCCACGCCCCTTCCTGACAGCTTTAAATCCTGGCTTTTCACAGTCTTCCTGAACACCTGGAGAGGGTGCTCTTGAGATTCACTTCTTCGGTTCTTCCATCTCCGTGCCTCAGGCCCAGTTTCCCAGCTGTCCTGGTGTGACCTGGGAACATGCACCAAGAACAACTGCTCCTCTCATTCCCAGCACTGCCTTCTTCGTGGCCCTGATGGCTATGAAGTAATCTTCTTTCTTTGCATCCACTCCATCCTCAGCCATTTAGCCATGTGGCAGAGCATTTCTGAGTGGAGAAGGGGCTCGTATGTCTAGACTCTAGGAAGGGTTTCCTGGAAGCCTCGCAGACCTGCTGTGGCAAATCTGCTACCCATGTCAAGGGTAACCGCCTTGTATTCCTTCTGATCTACGTGCCATCATTGATAAAGTTCTAGAGGAAGTGTCTGCAGTCCTTTTGGGTCCAGTTCTCTGGCGTTGGTCACCCTTCTTGCAGCCTGAGGAAATGGACTAGGTGCTTGGGTTGCTTTGCCAAACCACCACTCTCCTTGACCTTCCCCACCTTTTATTTATTTATTTATTTATTTGGAGTTTTTGTATGCCGTCCCATTCACATAAGCCTCGGGACGGCTTCCAACATAATAAATAAACAATCATATAAAAAGATACATATAAAATCTGGATACACCCTGGCTATAAAATTTTAAACCAATAAATAATATTAACAATTATTAAAATATCATTTAAATAAAAAGGTCTTGTCCTGGTGCCGAAAAACAAATAACAACGGCGCCAGGCAGACCTCTCTAGGGAGTGCATTCCATAAGTGGGGCACCACTGCAGAGAAAGCCCTCCTCTGGGTACTCACCCTCCTAATATCTTTCACAGAGGGTTCCCAGAGGAGGGCCTCTGCCGCCGAACTCAAGGGGCGGGAGGGCAAATATGGAAGCAGGCGTTCCTTTAGATATCCAGGTCCCAAGCCGTTAAGGGCTTTGTAGGTGATAACCAGCACCTTGAATTGGGCCTGGACTTCGATGGGGAGCCAGTGAAGCTAGTAGAGGACTGGGGTTATGTGAGAATAACGCCCAGCCCCCATCAGCAACCTGGCTGCTTTATTTTGCACCATCTGAAGTATCTGGACTATCTTCAAGGACAGCCCCACATAGAGCGCGTTACAGAAGTCCAATCGGGAAGTAACCAATGCATGTGTCACTATCGCCAGGCAATCGTCCTCCAGGTAGGGACACAGCTGATGGATTAGCCAAAGCTGAAGGAAAGTGCTCCTCACCACCACAGCCACTTGAGCTTCCAAAGACAGCTCTGGGTCGAGGAGCACTCCCAAGCTGCGGACCCTGTCCTTTAGAGGGAGTGCAACCCCATTCAGGACAAGGTCCAAGTCACCTACCCAGGAGCCCGAACCACCCACCAACAGGACCTCCGTCTTGTCTGGATTGAACTTCAGTTTATTGGCCCTCTTCCAGCCCATTACCTCGGCCAGGCGCCGGTTCAGTATAGCCACTGCCTCACCTGGGTTGGTTGAAAACAAGAGGTAGAGCTGGGTATCATCAGCGTACTGATAATTCCACAGCCCACACCTCCTGATGACCTCTCCCATGTAGATGTTAAATAGCAAGGGGGACAAAATGGATCCCTGTGGAACTCCATATGGTGCAGAGCCATAGTCCCTCAGCACCACCTTCTGGAAGGAGCGGAACCACTGCAAAACAGTGCCTCCAACTCCTAATCCCGCTAGCCTATCCAGAAGGATACCATGGTCGATGGTATCGAAAGTCGCTGAGAGGTCCAGGAGGACCAACAGGGATGCACTCCCCCTGTCTCTCTCCCTGCACAGGACATCATACAGGGTGACCAAGGCAGATTCAGTACCATACCCGGGTCTTAAGCTGGACTGAAATGGGTCCAGATAATCAGTCTCATCCAAGAGTGCTTGGAGTTGTCCCGCCACCACCCGTTCTAACACTTTACTCAGAAATGGGATGTTGGCCACCAGTCTATAATTGGTGGCCATCTCTGGATCCAGGGATGCCTTCTTTAGGACTGGCCGGACTACCACCTCCTTTAGAGGGCAGGTACCCGGCCATCCCTCAGAGAGGCGTTGATGACCTCCAGGATCCAGGCACCAATCCCGTGTTTGGCTTTGTTCAGTAGCCATGATGGGCAAGGGTCCAGTAAACAGGTAAACAGGTAGTGGGATGTACTTGTCTAAGCACCTTGTCCACATCATCAGGCCGCAATAACTGAAGCTCATCCAACAATGTTGGACCAGATGGCAACATTGGCACCTCCCCTGAGGGCTCTGAATCACTAGTGGAGTCCAGCTCATGATGAATCTGAGCGATTTTCTCCTTAAAATGCTTGGCAAGGTCGTCACAGCAGGCTGTCAAGGGTGGTACAGGATCTTTCTTAGGGCCTGGATGTACCAGCCCCTGTACCACCCGAAAGAGCTCTGCTGGATGGCATTGTGAGGAGGCAATGGAAGTGGAGAAGAATTTCTTCTTTGCCGCCCTCACCGCCACAGCATAGGCTCAATAGTGAGCTCACAAGTGTGTTCGGTCAGATTCATCCCATGATTTCCTCCACCTATGCTCTAGACGTCTCCCAACCCGCTTCATCACCCGTACTTCAGGTGTATATCAGGGGGATGAACTGCCAGGTGGGAGAGGACGCTTAGGAGCGATCTGTCAATAGCTCTGGTCATTTCCCCATTCCACAGTTCGACCAGAGCATCGACAGGAGCACCAGCCTTATCAACCGGGAACTCCCCCAGAGCCTTCAGGAATCCATCCGGATCCATCCGGCTCCAAGGGCAGAGCAACACAATAGGGTTCGCACCCTTACAGAGGGAAAGGCCGCTATCGAGCTCAAACCTCACGAGGAAGTGATCTGACCATGACAGGGGAGCCAGACACAGATTCCTCACCCTCAGATCCCCCTCTTCCTGCCCTGTCAAGAAAACCAGGTCCCGTGTGTGTCCACGTTCATGGGTTGGGCCTATGACATGTTGAGACAGCCCCATGGCCATCATGGAGGCCATGAAGTCCTGAGCTGCCCCGGTCAGAACAGTCTCGGCATGGAGATTGAAGTCCCCCAGGA